GAAGAGAAAGGAGAATGGCCCAGAAGTCTATGGACCAACTAGCCTTGAGTACATTGCATGTCAGAAACAAGAGAGGACCTGCCTCAGCAAAGTAGAAGAAGAGTGCTTACTCCTGAAAGTTGCCCTCTGACCTCGGCCATGGTACAAGCACATCCAAATTCACCTCCTTTCTTCTCTCTCTCACAACAATAAATAAATAAATTTAAATGTTCAAAGTTGTATATTATATATAAAAGATGAAAGCCACTGGTCTAGAGAATATATAAGGATACATATTATTTCTAAAATCAGTTTTCTTTATTGTCTTTTGTAGGAAAAGGCATATAACATAAATTAATCATTCTTAAATGTGTAATTTCAATAATATATAGTACATGCAAATTATTCTGCAGCCCTCACTGCTGCTTAGTTATGAAATATCTTCATTAAGCCCTAAAGAGCCCTGATACCAACTAGGCACCATTATCAGTTCTCTCTTCTCAGTCCATAGTAATAATTAATCTGCTTTCTGTCTCTACAGTTTAATGTAGCCTTTGTATTTCATTTAAAAGAAATTATTAAATACATAAGCTTTTGGTCTGATTTATCTTATTTCACATAATGTTTTCAGGGTTGATCCACATTTTAACACATATGATGCTTCATTCCTTTTTGTCCTATATTTATTCCACATTTTCTTTATTTTTTTTCATAGGTTAATGGCATTAAGGGTATTTCCACCTGTTTCTGAGAACACTCTAAAAAATGAAAAAAACAAGTGAAGGAAGAGTTTATTTTAACTTACAGTTCAATATATAGTCCTTCATTGCAGGGAAATCAAGGCAGCAGTCTTCTCCAGGGACAATCCCATGATAGATTACTCAATCGCCAGTGGTCAGATCTAAACACATATACGTATTAGTAACATTAAAAGGACTTAGTAGATTGTTTTTCTAAATGTGTGTATGTGTGTAAAAATAATTAAAGAATAAGAGACCATAAATGTGAGTGTGTCATAATGGTGGGACATGGGAAGAGCTGGAAGAAAAGGGATAGAGAATGATGTAAATACAGTACTTGCATATGAAATTTGCAGTAAATAAAATTTGAAAATGATTGCCTCTTTTGAAATAGTTTGCTGTTTTTGGATTGATCCCAGAACCTCAGCCATGCTATGTAAATGTATATCCATGAACTATTCAAATGGCCTAATTTCCATTTTACTTTGGGCCAGGAGTTACTGCTTATACATATGTTAATTGTTCCTATTTTAAAGATTTTGGCATTTTCCAGGGATTTCTTGTGATTTTTCATTTAATTTCATTGTGCTCTAAGAACACAGTCTCAAATATCGCTTGAATCCTGTTAATATTATTAAGACTTATGATATGACAGTGAGTATGACCTATATTGGTAAATGTTCTGTGCACATTTAAATTAGGTATACATTCTACTGTTTGGTAGTGGGAAGTTACATATGTATTAAACAGAATAAATTGGTCCATGTTGTTCTGGAAGTCTGTTTTCTGTTTGCTTGTTCTGTTAATATTTTAGAGACAATATTTCATTTCTGACTTTTATTAGGGATTTGCTTAATTTTCATTGAGCTATGATTTTTTTTTTGCTTCATGTAGTTTGAAACATTGTAATATGTGAAAATTTACCACTTAAAATTATGTAATGCCTTAATTTATCCCTAGTCTTCCATTCTGCAACTTATCATGCTTAATATCAATATAGTAATTTGAATTTGTTTTGATGAACACAAAATATTGTAGTTTCCATTCTTATAATCTATTTTTATTTTATACTTAAAATGAGATTCTTATGGGTAATAAACAATTGTATTATCTCTTTCTATCCAATTTGACAATCTTTATAATCAAGATGTTTTGATCATGTGTTAATATGATTACTGCTATGTTTGGGTTTAAACCAACCATCTTGTTTCTATTTGTTCCATATTTTCTTCATTCTCCTTTTCCTTTAATACATTTTGGATTGATTGGGTCTTTCAAGAGTTAATGTCATTATTTGTTTAGCTATAATTTTCATGATTCTTTAGAGGGGTATAGCCTATATCTTGAATGCATCAAAACTAGGTTTTTAATATAGAATGAAATATTAAAAGCATATACTTCGACAATCCTCTGGTCTTTGTTCTATAATTGACACATATTTTACTGACATATTATAAATCCTGCGATATGTCATAAACTGTAGATACTCGTAAGGCTAATATATATCTCTTCTCAAATAATTTTGCTTTGATTGAACATTATCATTTCAGTCATTCCCAAACCTGGAAATTCATCTAGGTTTTATATTTTAGTTCAGGGGGATAAACCTAGTCTCTATTCATTTTCATTGGTGTTTCAATGATAGTCAATGACGAAAACTTTATTTCACTTGTGTCCAGAGTGTATTTTTAGGTTGCTGTGCCTATTCTCTCCTCTAAACTAGAAAGTTCATTCTGCAACACATTCTGTGGCTCCACATCAACCTTCTGTTCATTTAATTTTTTTTTTCTCAGTGATTTGCAAATTTTAAGAAAACATAATTTTATTAAAATTAGTGATGTATCTGCATTGCTTTGGTTCTGTTAGCTTGTTAGAAATGTGTAAGCATCTAAAATGTATACTGATTATTTGTTGAGTACCAATGAATCAGTTTTTCTCATATATTTCACAAGTACTTACTAGATGCCTATGATAGGCTAAGCCTCAATGGCACAATTCACTCATATATATATAAAGCCTCTTTTTTGCCATTAAAAGATGCTTTCAGCCAAATATGATTTCTCATGCCTGTAATCATACACCTTGGGCTGAGATAGGAGGATCATTGTGAGTTCCTGTGTGGGCTACACAGTGATTTCTAGGCTAGGCTATCTTAAAATCCAAAACGTCCACAATATTCTTTCAAACCATAACAAACTAAAAACTTCAAATATGAGAATCTCTATAATTCTTTCAGCTGTATTATAGAAATACATATTAGAAATAAAGAATTGATTCAGTTAAAATTTTATACGTCAAAAATCACAATAATAGTGATCTATATGTTACTGGAACAAGATCAGATCTCTTTTTGAACATTTTTTTTTCTTTGTGAACATCCCTAATCTTACTGCATGTACCTTGCCAGAATTTTATTGCTCATCTTTCTTTGTAAAGAATTGAGAAAAAGAAGCTCATTATTTTAGAGGCTTCATTTCTATGAAACTTAGGAAAAGGCATCCAAACCCTTTGAGCCTTTTTATTAACTGCTGTCTTCACGAATTTTCCTTACATTTCAAGAGCCTGGGAGAGGCCAGGACACTTTGGAATTAAACATATCATTCATATTGGGGTTTGTTACTTTCCATAATGGGTGTTTTTACCTGTTAACTCTTTCTCATGTTACAGTATAAGGCAGAGGGTAACAACCGTTGTGTATCATGACCAGGTGAGAGTCTTTGCAAATGAGCTATACTTTCTATTTTACAATTACTCAATACTGACACTGTAACATAAAATGTGTCACAAATAATGTGTAAATGAGTTAGCATTTGGTGTTCCAATAAAATTTTATAAACACCAAATTAAAAGTCCGTATGTGTTCCAAAATAATTTTTCAACCATTCTTACAGCCCCCCAAATAAACAGTGGGCTACATTTGGCCATGAGTTATGTACTAACCTGTTCTAGAGTCCTAAATTTTAAGTTTATTTTTGCAAAACACTGGCACACCTAGCTCTGCATGAGCCTGTGGGTTCATTCCCCAGTACTACAAAATAAAATCAATTTTCATAAATGTACTTTTTATGTAATCAAAATCTTGATACACTACCATGATTTTATGATGCTCAGCTCAGTATAGAAAAACAAAATTCTGTACATTCCTAAGTTTCAGGTTAATGTGGACTGTTGCTTCAGGTTCGGTGAGCTGTTGTCTCATATGTCTGCTATAATCTGTTCAACTAGAGAGATAATTGCCCCAGATAATTTTTTTAACAAAAAGATAAACAGAAAGGAATCTAGCTACACATGAAGAGTAGGATTCAGTACCATGGGCATTTCAGAGAAATCAGAGAGAATCTCTCATTTTGGGGATGGAGTCTGGTGTAGAACTCTAGTATATAGACTTTCTCAGGAAAGGATGAGAATAGGGCACAGTAAAGCAGAGTGCACCTATTCTTTGTCCCATGGGGCCTTTGAGTAAAGACCTGGTCTTACAAACACTCCCTAATAACTGAAAACATTTCAGAGATTACCTTACCCACATGCCAAGAGGATGAAAACTTGCAAAAAGTTCACAGATTACCTCATCTAGTTCATACAACAGCCCTGAGGTGACTATTTTCACCTTACTGATAAGCATAAAGATAGATATTAAATAGACTTATCTCTTATTTTCTCAGTAACAGATGCCAGATGATAAACTAGATCTGAGATTGTCATAAGTCTGGAAAGTTCTCACATTGTTTTTTATAGTTATTAAAATATTTTCATTTTAAGACTTGTTTTATTCATAAGTGCTTTGGCTGCATGTATGTCTGTGCACCACATGTATGCCTGGTACCCAGAAGTCATCAGATTGCCTGGGACTGGAATTACAGATGGCTGGGAGGCACCTTGTGGGTGCTAGGAAGTAGAGCTGGATCCTCTGGAAGAACAGCTGGTGCTCTTAAAAGCTACACCATTCTTAGTCTGGAGAAATGGCTCACAGATTAAGAGCACTGGCTGTTCTTCCAGAGGTCCTGAGTTTAATTCCCACCCACAAGATGGTTCCCAACAATTTATAATGTGATCTGATGCCATCTTCTGTCATATAGACACAACATTGTGTACATAATAAAGTAAAACTTGTTTTTTTTTTAAAGAGCTAAGCCATTTCTCAAGCCAGCAAATTCTTCATTAAATGTCTTCAATTCTGAAAAATGAATATAAAGAAAATTGTTTTCAGTTTTCCAAGTGATCAACACTACTTACTCCAATTATATGACTATATTCAGTAAAATTAAGTAAAAGTGCAGAGAATGCCTTTTAAATCTGCTTTATTAGCTTCACAATATTTAACAAGCATCTTTCCATGCAACTGATAAATTCTGCTAACAAAAAGAATTACAGTGAAAAACACAAGTTTCAACTAGTAGCTGATAAGAGGAAGAGATCCACATAAAAGAAGTAACCTCAAAAATTTTACAGCAGTACATCACAAAATGTAAGTTTTGGAAGCAGGGGTCTCCCTATTAACTTGAGAGAAAACCTCAGGACTCAGGGCATAAGGCAAAACTCATCATGATGGCCATGGTGAGGCGGGTCAGTGCTAACCGCCCGCTGACTATGGCTCAGCTGCCTTCCCCTTAACTTCTCCATGAGCTGCCTTCTCACGTCCTCCCCAAACCTTTCCGCATTACCCTCTCTCATCCTTTCCTGGGGCTCTCCAACCCTATGCATCAGGTCCCATCTATAGTGCACGATGGGCGGCCTAACTCGGAACCACCTGCGACTGCCTCTAGGCACACTATATTCGCCAGCTTCGAAAGTCAGGGCCACAGCTGGCGCCCTTTTGCTAGCATCTTGTGGCTTTTCTTCGTTTTTCTCCTTTTCCTGATGGTCATTTTCCATGTTGAGATTTTTGACTCCTTGATCTTTGGACTCCATTGCTCCTGAGAAAGAAAGGAAGGAAACGATTTCTTGATTGACTGATCAGTAACGAGGACAGAGTCTGTACTTTGCACCTTCCAAAATTCATTTCCCCACCTGTGAGGCCCATGGGCTCTCTAGAGAGCCTAATTCCAATCCACATGTCCCCAAAGCCCACCGTTTTGTTGTTGTTGTTTGTTGGTTTGTGTGTTTCCCGCAGATCCATCTCCCAAGTATTTGCATCACCAAAATGGAAGAATAGGATAGAAAAGAAGGATGCAGTGGAGGGGGCAAGTTGGGCTCTGGGATGTCGGACTGAGCTTTTCACACATTCCCTTTCCAAGCACTGACCCTGCACCCACCTGGGCCTATCCTTGTCTTCTCCTCCTCTTAGTGATGCTCGACACCTGGTACCATGCGAAGCGAAGCTCCTCAGACCTGCGGAAAACGCTGAAGTGTAGGTGGGAGGACCCGTGCCACTGCCCTGGGCACCCCTATCCGGGGCAGGCTCTTCCAGGGGACTCGCACCCACCACTTAGCCCCGCCCCACCAATCACCCCTGGGCATCCCAGATGCAGGCGAGCCAGGGTCTACGGGAAGTTGTCGCGGGGCGCATGCTCATAGTCCCCGAGGGTCTCTGCCTGGGCCCGCCCCCATCCGGCAGCAGTGCCGCTGGGCGTGGGGACAACCACCTGCAGCCTCGGCCTGCGCTGCGATGGCCGGGCTGGGGGTCGCGGGACCCCAGCAAAGGGTTCCTTGAGTCCAGGTTGCAGGCTCCCTCACCAGCTCCGTCGCTCCGCCTCCTGCTTTCCGCGCAGCCCGGTCTGCGTGCTCTGCAGCACCAGGAGCACTACTAGGAACAGGTGCTTCTTCCAGGGATGGTGGTCTGGAGGGTGTGAGCGAGCAAGGGCAGGTCCAGAGACCCCAGAGAGGGGTGTGAGCCTGCGTGGGCTGGTCACGTGGGACTCGCGTCACAATCCAAAGCTCCGCCCCAGCCGCTATTTCCCCCTCCTGCCCTCAGTGTCTTGCTGTGCAAAGTCCAGGCCCTTTCTTCACCTCCAGGTCCCTTTAACATTTCCAGCTTGGGGCCTGTCACTCTAAGCCCTAGGCATTTCATGGCCGACAGAGAAGGGCAGTGTGTTCTCTTTGGGCTGCTTGCCATTCACAGTTCTCTGGGGGATTGATTTTCCTCTCCTCTGTTTTCAGGATGGCCCTCTTTCCTTCTGCTGTCCCATCATTTACCAAAGCTCTCCATTTTTCCTTCAGTAAAAAAAAAAAAAAAAAGTTAATGCAAATTTTTAAAATTAATTTCTTTCTTTCTTGCTCTTTCTTTCTTCTCTCTCTCTCTCTCTCTCTCTTTCTCTCTTTCTTTCTTTTTAAATAATACAAATGCTTTATTTAATACCTGCAGGTCGTCCCATGGGTTAAGTGGTGGATATCCAGGACCCATCAGCAAGGTCAGTGCAAATTCCTCAGTCTCTCTTTCTAACTCCAATAGTGTGAGCACATCAGCTTCTCTAATGGGGTCTTTGAGATTGTAGATCAGTTGATGTCATCCATAAGTCCCACATGCACCTGTCTGCACAGTCCCTGCAATCTTGTCCTGCTCAGCACGTCGGTTACCTTAGCCAGCTTGATGGGCTGCACGTGGATCATGTCCATGATGGCAGTGATATGGCAGAGAGACCCGTTTTGCTTTGTTTTGTTTTGTTTTGTTTTGTTTTTCAAGGCAAGGTTTCTCTGGGTAGCCCTGACAATCCTGGAATTCATTCTGTAGACCATGCTGGTCTTGAACTCAAAGATCCACCTACCTCTGCTTCCTGAGTGCTGGGATTAAAGGCCTGTGCCACTACCAACAGTCTGATTTTTTTTTTTTATTTTCTTAATGCATTTCTGTATTGTACTTTTGGTGATAAAGGGAAAGCATACATCTTTTACATATAATGATAATAGCGGAGAAGAAGAGACTATCAATTGCAGAGTGGAGGGGCATGGAAGGAGTTGGACAGAAGGGGCTTGGGAAGGAAAAAGTAATTATGTTTGTATTAAAATTTTAAAAAAGAAAATGCAGGTAATTGGTGTCTCTTCCTTTTAAAAACCGAGCACTTACAGAACTGAGGCAGGAGGATCTCTAGTGGAACACTGGCCTAGCCTGGGGAGATGCTGTCTCATTAAAAAGAGAGAGAGATAGAGAGAGAGAGAGAGAATGAAAGAAAAGAAAGGAAGAAAGGAAGGAAGGAAGGAAAAGAAAGAAAGAAAGAAAGAAAGAAAGAAAGAAAGAAAGAAAGAAAGAA